CATCAGTGTCTTCTCTACTTTTATGACTCTAATGCTTAGAGCAGCTTCATTGAGACATCTCTTTGTTTCACTTTAGGTCAGTCAAATGTTGTCAGTTCTGTGAAATAACTTTTCTCATTGTTTTTCAGATAATTTCTGCCCAGTGACAATATATAATTCTTCCTGAGTGAGTCAGTGCATTTGAGATCTTTTGTATCTTTTAAAACTTAAATTTTAATTTAGAACTACAGTCATCATTTTGGCTTTGCATATATTTTCCAAGGGAAAGTCTTTTATTGACAGAAACAAAAAAAAAATACATATTTAAAAAAAAATCCAAAGTAAAAATGCAGCTTTGAAAACATCTGTGCTGCAGAGTCCACCACCCAAGTTGTCTTGAGGGCCAGAAGTGAATGCTGTCCTGTTTGGATGTCACTGTGCTGGAGCAGCTGAAGTACTTGGGAACTGGGAAGGCACCCAAAAAATCTTTGTGTCTTTGAGCTTAATCTTAGCACAGTCATAGTGCTGTAAGACCTTGAGGGAAGAAATCCTGGGAATACTACTGGTTGTGTGTGGAGCCAGCATCTTTTGACATGAAGAGTTTTTTACCAAGGTCCTTCATTCTCCTGCTGAGGCCAGGCAGAGCCAGGGTGTGGATGAAGCAGGCAGAGCTGATGTTGGGAAGTGTGGCTGATTCAGTCACATTTTCAGAAGCAACCAGTACTGGGCTGGGCTGAGGTGAACTAGGAGCCTGGAAAAATTTGGTGCTATGGTAACTGCTGAGGCTGCTGGTGAGTGGAAACAAGACTGTTCTGACTGAATCACCAGCATGTGTCTGTGTGTATTTTTGTCAGTCTGCTCTATTTGGAATTGTTCTACTGATGCAGCATTTTTGAAGCTTCAGATTAGGTGTGGGGAGCAGTTCCAAGTACTCAGTGTTCACCGCTGAGAAGATGGTTTTAGGAGGTCACTTTGTTTATCTTTGCATCTTACCTATGATGGATAATGGATATAAATGTATTATTACCCCAAAAATTATGTTTTTCTCTGGGTGCTGACATTCCTGTGTATTGTTTTTATTTTTTTTTTTTTAAGAACCTATTTGAATCTCTCAAAAGGGAACTCCAGTTAAGGGATACCCCACAGGGAGTCTATCCACGCCATTATGGCCTGAAACCTGGGGTGATACAGGCAGGAAGGCCATAGAGATTTATGTTCAATGATATTGAATATCATAATTGATTCATTATTAAAAAAAATAAAAGGCAGTAGTTTGCTCTTGATGATGCCCACAAATACTGTTTAACTAGTATTGCATTTGTTTCATACACAAAACTGATTTGGAACATTTGGAATCGAGGAAATGAGAAGCTGTTCTGCACCAAGTTCAGAAAGCATCTGGTGCTTTTGGAGGTGGTGGAGTTGAAGATTAATTTTTTTTTCCTCCCAATTTTCAAGAGAATAGAGCGATTTTTTTTTTCTCTGAGGCTTTATTGATCTTAAAGCTCGTTTCATCCATTACTTCTGGATGTAATTACATAAATTGATTGTAGATGGGAAAAGCAAAGTAGCATTTTCTAAAACAAAACCCAGCAGTTTGTGACAATTTGAAATTCTGGATCTAAGCTGTGGGCTGTGGAGTTGAAACTCAGCATAGTGAGGGAGTCTGTTTTTATTTTAGGTTGTCTGCAAATTCTATCTACAGTTCTACAGCCATTATGGTCTTATTTTTAAAGTTTGTCTTGAGCTTTAAATGGGAGCAGAAGTTGAAGAGCAAAAAACTGTGAACCAGGAAGGTTTGTGGTCATGTTCCTTTTTTTTTAGCAATATATTTCCATGGTGTTGTGTATCTAGATTAAAGTGTAATCTTAAATTTAGAATTTGTGGAGTTGTAGTGCTTGCTTTTTATAAAAATACAAGTTTCCAATCTCAATTTAAAGCTATGTAGTCTGAAAATAGAAAGATACTATTGTATAAGTTTTGTCTGTGGTTATGTGCATCAGATTTGCTGCTGTACACAAAAGAGGGGGGGATGAATCTGCATAGAAAATAATGAAGTTAAGCAGGATAAGCAGAAGTGGGCGATGACCTATTTTATCTGAATTCAACAATTAGGTTACTTCCTCTAATTTCCAGTGTTTTCCTTGGTGTTGCCACCCTTGTGCAATACGGACCCAGCAAGGGATGGGGACAAAGGGCACCCATGGAAGTGCTGCAGCTGGGATTGTGGTGAAGCTGTGCCAAGGCTGTGTGCAGAGGTGTTCCCTCTCTTCAGTTGTAGGTCTGTTCATGTCAACAGCAGCAGATGTAGAGGCAGAGGAGCAGACAAGCTCCCTCGGGCAGTGAGGAGGGATGGAGTTGGCCTGTGGCCCTGTGCCAGCAGAGTTGTGCTGCCTGATACTGAAAGGAATCTGACACCACCACATGACAAAGTGGCCACAGCTCTGCAGTGTTTTACCTTCAGCTGAGCCAAATAGATCAGGACATAAGAAACATTCCCTATGCCAAGAGGCACGTCCTGCTCTTTGAACAAAATTTCTCACAGCCAACAAATCCAGGAGGTCTGGAGCTTGGTGATGCGACCTGGTGAAGTTGGTGGGGATGGTTCTGCCAGAGAAGCAGAATGGTCTGCTCCTGGACAGGTCTTTGCTAAGTGTTTCAGACCTGCCAGTATCAGGATGATCACTCTGGTGTTATTGCTTCAGGTTTAGATGGTGCTTTTACATTGAGCTGAAGCAGTTGGGTACTTGGAATCACTTGGAGCTCCTCTCAGGCTGGAGCAGTTGGCAGAGGTGGCTCTTGTCACTGCTCTCACAGAGCTGAGCGCAGTTGTAGCTGTGGACTGGGATCCTGGCTGCTTGCACACGTAGTTAAAAAAAAGCACATGGTAAAACCCACCATGTAGTAAGGAAATCTCTGTAGCAGCAGAAGAGTCCAGACTCATTAGAAACACAGAAATTGAACAAGAGCTCTCTTATCTGCCAGTGCACTAAGATGATGGCAGGGAAGAGCTGGAGTAATCCTTGCAGACATAGGGGAAAATCTTCCATATTGTGCCTGGAAGGCTGTAAAATATCCCCAAATTCAGTTTATTACAGATGGATTTATGTCAGATGACACTGTGGGGTTGAATTTTTAGATGCCACAAATGCCTGCTTTGGAGAAGCTCTCATGAGTCAGGGAACTCTTAAGGATGTAACTTCTGAGTTGTACTCTGAGAAGTGCAGAAAATGTTTACAGCAAAGGCGTGTTTAGAAGTTGCTCTGCAGCAGTGACCATAATCACTGATGTTTGGTATCCTTTGAGAAGGGCTGTAAAAGGCCCTGAGACCCTGCCCCTTCAGTATTCATCCAAAAACCCCACCACCCAACAACAAAAAAAGTCAGAAAGCATGCCTTGTAAATTGAAGAAGCTTGTTTAAGAACAGCTAATAAAATCAGAAGGGTAAATACTTTGAGATGGTACAGAGACTGTTTAAGAAGACATTTTATTGGAGGATCAGACAGTTGACAAAATTAGACACAGGGATGAGAGGCAATAGGGATACACACCTCAAAAGTTCAAATTTTATTCAATGAGAAAAATTGAAAGAACAAACTTTTAAGCTTAAAAAAACCAATAAGGTTGTCCAAAATGAATTGAGGGACATCTGGCTCAAAGTCTGAAATCTTAAAGGAATATTTTTCTTTAAAAAGATTAAATTATTAATCTTTAAAAAGATTAAATTATTAAAAAATAATTTTTAATTTCAAAACTCAGTAACCTAAAAATATGGGAGTGTGTTGAAAAAAACCCTGAGCTGTGTTACCAGAGAATATTAAGAAAATTACAGACCGTGGAAATTAACAGAAACAGAAGACACAAAATGGGAATGTACATTAAGTATTACAGTAAGGAAGAGGAGATTTTGTGAAGGCTGTCTTTGCCTTACTCTCCTGCTGGACAGGTGCAAAATTATTCTTATGAGGGCAGAATAAACAATCCCAACTTGATACAACAAATGGCCTCTGGACTGCCACTTGAGTGCAGGGTCAAGCTGTGTCCCACTTCCATGGAAAAGTGAGTTCAGTTCTTACCTGCAGTCAAAACATAAATGGAATAATAGAAATCCAGAGGGGGGGAGGAATAGAAACCAAAACAGAGAACATTGTTATGCTGTTATCTGTAATCACCTTGGGCTTGTATTGTGTGATGCTGGTGGTTATTCCCTGCTCCTCAAAGAAGTTACAGAACTGGAAGTGTAGCAGGAGCACTGCGGTAGAGATGAGCTTCCGTAAGAACAGCTGAGTAGACTGTAATTAACCAGCCTTGAGAAAAGACCTTTGGGGGGTGGGATGTGAATCAGGACTTGAAAAAGTCTTAAGAAAGCTGTCAGGGAAATGCTTTTCCTCTCTCTTCCAATTTTAAAAATGTAAGTACAAAGGAAAAATAGGTTGGGCAGGAATTGAATGGGAAGCTGTAGGATGTTGCCTTTTCAAAGAGCTTACAATGGTTCAGAAAGTGAGATTGTGTAAAATAGATGCTGAACAATGAAGGAGTGTTCTTGGAAAGTACAACTGTGTGCTCTGTCCTCTGCATCCACTATCAGCTATTTTTGGAGACAGTACATCAGGCTACACAGACATCTGTCCTCATATACTATATCTGCACTTAGGTGTTTTTTTACTGTCTTGTTAATCACCTATATAAATAGTTTTTTTTCTGATAGATGAATAAAAATACCTCACAAAAAGCAAATTGGAAATTAAATTTCTGATTTTTGTCCAGTTCTTTTCCTACCAAATAAGAGCTAGGAGTAACTGTAATTGTACATTGGAAAGCTGTCAGTTACTAAAGGAGACTGACATTTTATCTTGGATTCAATAAAAGACATGAGTAATGGAAAATCTTTAGTAATTCTGTCATTCTTAAATAATTTATGTGTGGGTTGGGTTTATTTTAGTGCTGTATTTCTGTTGCAGGGAATCTTGTGCCATGACCATTCTTTTGCTTGACTGCTATTTTGTTTGGGTTTTTTGAAGGTACATGGGAATAGGACTTTCTGCTCAAGGAGTCAACATGAACAGGCTTCCTGGTAAGTCACTGTTAAGGTTTATTTTGATTTACAGTCTGTATTAAATGTGCATTTGAAATAAAGATTTTTCTTTTTATATATGAATTAGTGAATGTGTGTTTCTATTAATAAAATTGTATTACTATAATTGTCTTATATCTGGAAGCTTCAACCTATTGAGTGTTATCTTAAATTGAGTTACTGGTGTCAATGCAGCCATGATAATTTTATCAGATAATAGAAATTAAGACTAAATTAATGAGTTATGGGTAAAGTGGTGAGCTTTCAGACAGGCAAACTCTTCTTTGTGTCTGAAAAGAAAGTAGGAAAATCATTTTGTATTTAATCTGTATACTTCACTTGACAAATTTACATGAAAGAGTCTGAAAATGACAGGATAATTGGCCTGTTGTATTGTCTCTCTTCTTTCCTTCTTCCCACTGAAAGACTACAAAAATGTGGTAGAGTGGTATTTCCAGTTAATATTGTTGCTTCTTTTGTTTGAAATGTCTGTTTTTGGATTTGCCTCTAAGTTGGTTAAGTGGCTTCTTTTCAGAAATAAGTAATTGGCAATCTTTCTTTGATGATATCCTATTTATTGAGTAAAATAAGTTTCTAGATATGTATTGACACATTGACTGCTATGCCACAAATTCTTTCAACTGGGGGTTGTATTTGGTAGAAAGTAAATGTTTTTCAGATGCCAGAATGAATGACAGCTGGTCACTGATGGGGGCTTCTTTGGCCTTGGGTGTTGCTTCTGGTGAAGTTGTTTTAAAGATGAAATTTGTGTTCAGCCCTTGTTATGGATCTTGGTATCTCAAAAGGAGAATGTTTTGGGAATGTCCTAACAAAAGAAAGATCTGATATTTTGGGAAAAATGGCTTCAGTGACACCTGTGCTTTAAAGAATTTGCATCTTACTGCATACTATATTTGTTAGTAATTGTTATGAAAACTGCACCAGTCAGTCCTGCTCTCTATGCACTTTCCCCCAGTCCTCCTGATCCAGGTGAGTTGTGTGCCATGTACAGGGCAAAGCATGAATCTAGTCCCATCATCTCCTTCCAGGGCTGAATGGCATGGAAAAGGGGTTGTTTGGCAGTTAATGGAGCCTGTTCAGGTCAAGAAATGGCTCTGTGGCATGTGTGATGGAAGGATGGGGGGAATGTCTTGTAGACTTGGCCTTGCAGATGATTGGTTGGATTATGCTTAATTTAGGATTCTTCTGGGGTTATAACACAGGTACATACATACATGATTCAGTACTAACCTGAGATGGTGTGTACTGAATATCTCAAGTGTGCTGTCCTGAAATTGAACAGCCAGTGTAATTTCTTCTTTTTTTTTTTTTTTTTTTTTTCCTCTTTGGTGACTAAAAATTACCCAAACCAATTCTGATAAAGGGCTTTAAAGCCCAGGAGTTACATGGGCAGCATTTTTGGCCAGTTTGAGTCAAAGTGCTGTATACCACTGTCACTTCTAGAGTGCATGTGATGAACATGGAATTCTTTTCTCTCAGTGAAATAAAGCATAAAGTGAACTTGAGACTTGAGATAGTGCTTATTTAGCAATGCATTGTACAAATTTGATCCCATGAACCTGTTGTTTGTTTGATCACATGCAGATTATGCTGCCAAGATTCATTCTGTGGTCAGAGTTAGGTCGCTCTTCCATCATATGTATAAGATTAACTGCATGGCTCTGTATTACAGCTCAGTAATTATCTTCCTGGCTTTTGGAGAATAAGTGTGATTTTTTTATTTTATTTTTTTTTTAGTATATTTTTCAAGTAACTGAAGTGAGAAACATATTTCCAGGCTTAACTGTTATCAGGTCCTTCACAGAACAGAGTAAGTGAGAGCTCACAAAGAAGTGTCAGACTTTGGAGTCTTGACTTGGCTTCTCATCAAAGCGTAATTTTAACTTTTTGTGACCTGAAACCCTGCCAAGTTTGTCTCCTTAGACCCTTTCTAAGTCACTTCTGCTTTAACAGATCGATTTTCACTCAGTGTGTTGCCAGGGAAGTGTGTAACCACCACAAGTGGTGGTTGGGAGCCCAGAGTCTGGTACAGGAGCCAAAGTTGGTCCCTTTCTTGTCCCCAGTTTCACTGGGGATCCTTGGTGGCACTCTGGGAGTCCTAATTCAAAGAGAAATCTTGCTGCTGGGTTCTGTCTCAAACTCCTTTTCCCCCCACAAGGACAAACACTTTGGTCATATCCAGTTCCAAGTCGGGGCATTTGTGCTTTATTGCCAAATTTATTTTGGCTTCAGCCCAGCTGGGTGTTGGTGAGGGTAGTGCTGAGCTTTCTCTGAAGGTTACAAGTGTGATTGGAGCCACATGAGCTGAGTTCCCTTAACTATCCCTGTCTGCATTAGGAATAGAGACTGCTTTTAATTGGAGAGTTCCCTGTCCATGTTCGACTCAGGGTTTCTTTGTGCTGTGCTTTGAAATTCAGTCAGCAGGTCTGAAATAACTGTGGGATTATTATTAACTACTAACTTTTGTGACCCTGACATATCTTGATTTTTTAAAAAAAAAATGTAAAGACATTTAGAACATTTGCTAATAGGCATTCTCCTTTAAACTAGTGGCTTTTAGTGAAATGTCTGCTCACTTCTTTCCCCACATTCAGGTTTTTTTCACTGTGTGCTGAAAATGCTGTGTGCTCAGCATTTTGGTATTTGAAGATGAAATTACATGTTGCAGCTGAACTGATCTAACTCTGTGTCACCAAAGGAGAGACACCTGACCCTTCCTTCCTCCCCACCCCATCTGCACAGTCACTCTTCTTCCCTGGTGCAAGCCTTTGGCTCTGGCAGCTGTCACCTTGGCCAGGCCAGCTTTTATCCAGGCAGGAACCTGCCTGCCTCAGCTGTGTTGGGATTGTGGTGGGCTGGTTCCTTCAGGACTCATGGAGCAATGCTCTTACTTGTGCATCCTGCAAGTAACATATCTGCATCTTATATTTTATTATTATTATTTAGCCCTTAGTCCAGGAAGTTTTTCTGAGCCCTGCTGAAAATGTGTCGGTGCTTTGCTACAAGGTTTTACCAAACCTTCATGAAAGGGGAAGATGATAAGTGTCCTATCCTTAACATGGATGAGATTGCTCACTGGAAATGAGTCTCATCTGCATGTGATGTTCTGCATTAGTTCAAGTCTTCATGCTGTTGAGAAGTAACATTTCATTTGTTTGAGCTCTTTGAGGGTAAACCCAGCAGAGAGGGAAAGAGGGATGAATCTCTAAGGTAGCAGCAAGTTCTTAATTCTGCCTAAAATGTTGTGAAACCACACCCTTAGGCATGCCCTGCTTCAGTTTCTTAAACAGCATAGATAGGAGCTGACCAATCACTTTTAAAGACTTTAAACACCCTCTGGTTAATAAATGACTTGCCCTGCTATGCAGCATTGTACATGTTGAAGGGAGTGCCAGCTTTCACTCACCATTCTTTGGTTTTCAGAAACACTGGCAATTTTTTCAGCTTGCTTTTCAAACAAAAAGATACTGCTTGGCTTATTCACTATTTGGCTGCTCCAAACTCTCTGTTAAAAGAACAAGCTTTCAAACTCAAGAATGTTTTACAGACTTGAATTAGTGTGCAGCCAGATAAATCAGGAGAATTTGGTGTAAAGAGACCTGCTCCCTATTGTGGTTTGGCTTCTGGGTCTGTAGTGCTGTGAGCCAGGTCAGCAAAACCAGAAGCATTTTGTCCAGGTGGCCTGAGTCTTTTGTTCTGCAAAAGGTCCTTGTGAGCAACCCGTTTATTGAGACATAAAGATAAAATAGAAATGAGCCCTGGGAATTAAGAATTCCCCATGCTCTCCTCCTCTGTGAAAGCCATCTTTTGTCCTCCATAAACCAGCACATGGACTGGGCTTTCCATTTTACCTTTGTTTGGAGATCCTTTTCTTTGAATTTTCTTGCTGACAGGTTTCTGATGACATTTGGAGGTAGGACTTTATTTCTTCTCAGCTTATCTTCCATGCTATCCTGTCAGGGGAGATGCAAGCAGGGAGAGCAAGACTGTTGAGGACTCAGTCCTCGTGTTCATTTCTTTGGGAGAAAAAAGTTACTTGTTTCTTCCTTAGGCCTGTTCCCAAGGGTTTTTCATGCTAGTGTGCTCCCCTCTGGGAGCAGCCAGAGAAGGGAAGGTTGGTAGGTGTTGTATCACAAAATCATAGAATGTCCCAAGTTGGAAGGGATTCACAAGGATCATTGATTCCGACTCCTGGTGCTGCACAAGTTAAATTCTCATGTTTTTCCTCATCAGAGTTGGGGATGAGTTTCTGCAGAGGCTCTGTACTTAGATTTTCCAGTCTCAATTTCACAAGGCTCTGGCTGCCTCATGTAACTCTTAAGTTAATCCTGCTACAAGTGAGAAGTTCCGCTGAAGTCTTCCAGGTTTTCCTTCTAGCCAGTTTTGGTTTGGTTTTGGTGTGGTTTTTTGTGGTGTTTGTTTTTGGTTTTTTTTTTGTTGTTGTTGGTTTTTCTTTTTTGTTTTGTTTTGATTGGTTGGGTTTTTTTGTTTTGTTTTCCTTTTGTTTTCTGTGATTGCCATGGAATCTTTTTACTTTAAATGTAAAAGTTTTACTTAAGGAAGTTTTCAGTTTATGCTTTGGATTGTCACTTTCTGTGACTGTACTGACAAACAAAGGACCTGTGCTAAAGGCCTCAGTCCCAGTGCTAAATGTAGTAATTATAGAAGCTGAGACTTCACCAAATCATCTGATCTGAAGCGAATTCAATTATGCATTAGTCCTGCCTGACAGGTGTGTGTCTAAACCAGTCTTTCATTATTTTTCTGGCAACTTCTTCCAACACTGTCCTTGTGCTGGAAACTTTTCCTGATGACAAAGCTGAATATCCCATGTAGTCTGAGTCTATTCTTGGATCACGTGGAGGTGGAAAATAATTAATTCCTTTCCTCTTTGTAGTTCTATGCATGAAAACCTTACCACTGCTTTGTGGTCTTCTCTCCAAATCATACATCCCTGGCTCTTCACCCTTCCCTGTTTG